ATAGCGGCACACAGAATGACCTGTACAGCTGCTCTCCTGCCCACATTTCCTGCAAATGAGGCCAGTGGCTTCCTGATGGGTTCCTTGGCTCTACTAATACGAAATACCAGTATTTTAAAAAGTTAACTGTGTGAACTCATTACTCAAAAAATGCAAAACAAGTTTTACTGATTTCAATTACAAAATAAAATTATACAAAATATGCAAGAGTTGGTCCAACAAGATATGCACAGTCACATGCCCAGAACTATACAACATTTTTGAGAAAAATTCTAAAATATTTAAAAATATCAAGACTACATTATATTTAGACTGTAAGTCTGATTATTACAAAGATGTCAATTTTCCAGAAACTGATTTGCAGAATCAGTGTAAGCGTAACAAAAATAATTTTTAAAAAAATTAAGAGAACCAGAAAAACATGTCTGCCATCAGTTGGTTTACCACTAAAATTCCTGCAAAACAGCTGGACACTCATTCCAAACTTCTTAGCAGAGTAGTAGGGACCCATCTGCTGAGTCATCATCTGTTGCCCGACAGGGCTTCCTACACTGGAGGCTGCAAACAGGAGCGTGATCTGTCACATGGGGTCGGGTGGAGTTTTCCACTTATACTGTTAACGTCGCTGTTTAGTTTCCAACGTTGGAGCATTCTGGATTTCAGATATTCAGATTAGGGATACTCAACCCATTCTAGGCCAATTGATTTTTCTTAAGGAAAATCTTTTATTTCGTTCTCTACATTTCACATGATAAACAAAATAAACAAGTGTAAGAGCACTGTTCATCTGAATGTAAATGATAACACAATAAAATTGTAGAAAACTGTGGGTTTTCACTACTCCAAAGCAGGCCGACTTCTCAAGCACATGCAGTGTTAGCCATTAAGGAAATGCCTGGACTGCTTCTCAACTAACAACTCTGGTCAAAACAAACTATAAAAAATTTCACCAACTGTCACTCTCACATGGTGGGGATGCCCTGGGTGTGTACTATACACACCTATGAGAGTGAAGTGGGGAGGGGGGAAGCTTCAAACATTCCCCTTGAATATCCTTGTCTCTTAAGCAAATTTTTTATATTTGTCAAATACATAAAATACTCCTTATCAAATACCTTATGGTCTTTTTTTTAAGGTTCACTTACTTATTAAGCAATAGAGATAGCAGAGAGACAGAAAGACCTTCCATTCTTGTTCACTACCCAAATGGTTGCAATGGGCAGGGCTGGGCTAAGCAGAACCCAGGAACCTGGGGCTCACAAGAGGGCACCACCAGCCCAAGTCCTTAGGAACCTCGTGCTGCTTTCCCAAGCCTGTAAGAGGAAGATGCACTTGAAGCCAAACCAGCCCCAAACTACTTCAATATGGGAAGCCAGTGTCACAGGTGGTCAGCTACTCATGCTGGCCCTGGGACAGCTCTCACCTGCTATCAGTCTATGAATCTAGTTGAGTCAGAAGAGATAATGTTTTGTGAATGTTGACAAGAGCTGAGCTAGTTACTAATGGGGCATTAATAATTCTTAGGAAGGATACTAATGTGGCTACAAAAGTAATACAACCAACATGGAACAAAGTGCCAACCCAAAGTACCAAGTGCAGCATGAGTAAAAAGCGCTTTAGCCCAAATTCCTGTCATCACTGCAGCTAAGACATGACTGTCTCATGGGGCATACTTACACAAATACCAACAAGAAAGTGAGTCACTGAGTTTAAAGATTCTACTGCCAATAGTACTGTCAAACTTTTGCTACCCTATTCAATCGCAGAAATAGTGGTTTATCCTGATTCTTAAGCAGCCAGAACATTAAGAAAACCTGACTTCTAGAGCATGCTCCCTTAATTCAGGTCTGAGTGCTTAAAACAAAAATCAAAGAACATTTAAGTTTACGTATCTGCTTTTCCATTTATTTTACAACCAGTGTTAAGCAGTAAGGCAGGATGGCAAGATGAGAGAAGGAGTTGCCAGAAACAAAAGTCATCAGAAGCAGTAAGAAAGAGCAGACAGCAAACAAAAATAGGCAGGTACACACAGCCAGCCCTCCGGGATCACTTCATCAAAAGCTCCCAGGGTCTGGAGTGTCTCCCAGGGCAGCCGCGCACTGCGGACCCAGTCACAAACGCACGCCCCGTAAGGCCAGCACTACCAACTGCAGTCTGCTATGGACACTTCTCAAAGAAAGTACAACACCTTATCAATCCGTTATTAAAATGCAACTCATCCCCACTGTTTGAATCTGAGCACTTAAATGACAAGCTTCAGTTGTACAGGTGATTGTACTCCACCGTCAACACTGTTTGGAGCTGTACGGATGATGGGAGAATTCTGAGCTTCTCTGAGACATTAGTTACAGGGAAAAATGGGACTCTGTATTCTCTAATCACCCGGGGGTTTGGGGAGGGGGTAGTGGAGGGAAGCCAAAGTAGTAGCAACATAATCTGGAGGAAATCAAGTTCTGACATAATACAGGAACCCAAGAGTGGCTGTATGTATGTAGTACGTGCCTAATTGTGAAATTACCATTTGTCTCCATGGCATGGAACACACTGCAGTGTAGCCCAGAAGTCCCGGTGCACCCAGCCCAGGCCAGTCAGTAGAAACTTGCCCTGCTAAAACACTGATTTAAATAGAAAGCATAGTACACACATTTACTAATTTGCTCAAAAAATTTAGTGAGCCACAGAAAGGCAATTTAGATTTTTAATCCTCTTGGCCAGAACTAAAATTAAAGAAGAAGCATCTAACACATGGTTTTCTACGCATGAAAAAGCCAAACGATAAAAAATCTGTGAAAGATCACAACAATTTCATTTTTTCCCAAAAGAAATTGAGAGAATGTGCAACGGACTTGTGTGCAGAGCCACAGCACACATGCCGAAGTTGAGCGTGAAGACTTACAGTCCTCAAATGACCTATTTCCCCTACAATCTGCGGAAAATATGATGCACATAGTGCTAAGCACGAGACAAATGGCTGCTGTCTGCAGGATGTAAACATTCACACACACAAAACCTTATGCGTAATCCCACACACATTCAGTCACAATGAACCAAAATGCAACTCAGCTCCCTTCCCATGCATCCTACCTAACCAACAGTCCTCTCCCAAAGTTCAAACTCTCACAATATTGTACTGGACCAAGACCTGAAATCTAAAGACCAGCATAGACAACACAACAGGTCTCGCTGAGAAACCGCCTAACTGCTTTAGGGGAAAAGGCTTATGTCCAAGTGCAGGAGGACACATGTGACTGTTCTATTTGTTCCATGGTGATGAAGTTTTGTTTGGGGTCAGAAACCATTAGGCATCTGTACAGCATCAGTCTCATAAAACGAAGGCACAGTCCAAAATGCTTTTGTTTACAGAGAGAAATTCACCTGCCTTGCCTAGCAGGGAGGTATAAATCCTAGTGGCATGGTTTCCCCGCCCAGGTAATATGTAAAACCCAACGGGAAGCATTTTTCTGGAAGGCTATGATCAATTTTAGGGCTCTCACTGAGGGCTACCAGGGCCCATGTCCAACACTGGTTTACAGAAGACAACACTGGGAAATGGGAAGGTCACGTGGCTTGTTAAAAGGCAACCTGGTGATTAACAAAAGTTAACCTAGAATCCAGCTGTGTCTGCACTGAGCACCTTCTCCCAAATACCTAACCATCTCTAAATTAGGCAACTCAGGTGAGAAAGCCAGCTGCCAGCTAACTCAGAAAGTAAAGCAGCATAAACGCGTACATGTGGCCACGCACCCCTGCCTAAATACTGTCTTACTAAAATATGTATGTGATCTACAAGTACTTTATTCACAGCTAGACAAAGCCTATCAAATAGACCACACAAGTAGAGATAAACAATAATTTTATATGCAATCAACGGATTGGACATGAAGAACTATCAGGATTAGCCACATAAATAACTATAGTAATTGAACTCTAAGCCAGAAATTGAAATTTATTTTAGTTACCATACTGAATTTATGTGTAAACTACCATTTACGTCAGCATTCACATCGTTTCACAGGAGAAAATAATTACACAAGTAAGATTGTGAAACTATAGCTGGGCCACAGCCATCCACACAAAGCTGGATGTTACTGAAATCTCTAAAACATTAACTTAGAATCAAATTTTCAGCAGCTGAAAGAAATACCCCCTTCTACTCTTCAACTGCTTATGAAGAGGGCACAAATGAATACTAAGTTTAAAAGATCCAGGACAAAAGTGGAGAAGAAAAAGGACCAGTACCTACGGTGAACGTAATCACTTCATATGTACTGAACTGCTTTTCAAACAGACTCCAATTTACCACGGAGAGCCCAAGTGTCCCACCACCAGCCAGGCAGGTCTTGTCCTCGACACACACCCTTGGGCTACATCCAGTTAAAAAATCACTCGAGGTTACTCGACAAAACCCCTAAGTATACACACCTGCAGCCACCCTACACAAGCGTTCACCTAAAGAAAATATGAAAAAATAATTACAACAGAGGAAAATGTTTCATCATTTTCCCACCGTTACAGCTGTGGATCAGGGCTTTGCTGGAGCCAGGTTCATCAGAAACCAACTTACTTAGGGATTCACAGAACTTCCTAAGGCAGGTCGAGGATTTAAATTAAAAATAACAATAACGATCAATACTGAAGAACACTCAGCAGGTTGGTTAATTCTCGGATTAACCACGCGGATGCTCGGCGTGGGGCGCGCCCTTGCTCGCCACGGGTACAATGGGAAGACACCTGGGGCGGAGGGCCGCGCCCGCCCCGCTGCGTGGACAGCCCGGCGAGGGAGCGAGCGCGCGCGAACGTAAACAAGCCGAGCCCACGACGCGCACTCGCACCTGGGCGGCTGCCGCGGGCTCCCGCCCCACGCCCTCCTCCTCCTGGGCTCCGACCCCGGCTCCCACGCGCCACACCAGCCCTCCGCGGCCCCGCGCCGAGCCCTGCCCTCGCCGCCTGCGGCCCCCGCGACCCCGCCGGGTCCCTTCCCTGCCCCGGGGCCGCCGTACCTGCACACGGTGATGAGGTTCCTGCGCTCCACCGCAGCGTTGCGGGCGCTGAGGCTCTTCTTGCCTCCGCCGCGGCTCCCACTCAGGCCCCCCAAGCTCCGGGAGGCCATGGCGGGCTGACCCCGCGTCCGCTTTGTCTCGCGCAATCCCGCACGGACCTCGCTGCGCGCCACACACACACACACACACCCTACCCCGCACCTGCTCCCCCAGGCCCTCGATCGGTACCCGACCGCAGCGGTGCGGGATGGAGGGAGGTGAAGAAGGAAGCGGAGGGGAGGATGGAAGGTGTGCAAGACGGCGGGGCACTCGTACCCGGGGACTGGCGACGCTCGCTCCCGGCCCCCCGAACGCCACAGACCCGCGCACACCCGCACACCCCACCTCCGCCCTCACGCGCGCCGCCGGGAGACGCGTGCGGGAGGGCTTCGGGCGCTCGGCTATTGCGCGAGGGTCCCGGGTGGCCAGCTACGGTATCCGTCCGCCCCGCAAACCCACCCACACCCTCACGCGGCGCCCCTCGCGCCCCAGCCGGGCCGCTGCGGCGAGACCCTCCCTCCCCTCCCCGCCCCGCCGGGCCTCGCGCGCGCCACTCCGCCTTGCAGGCGCCTATGGGATCAGCGCTGCGCCAGCGGGAGCCAATCGGGGCGCGCGGGGGGCGGGGCGGGCCGAGCGGACCTTTAAGGGGCGGCGCTGCAGCCCCGCCCCGACGCGTGAGCAGCTGTCAGGACGCCGCGCTCGGGCTCGCGCTCGCCACCCGCGTGCCGCAGCCGCCGGGTACGCTGAGGTGCTGAGGCGCTGAGGCGCTGAGGCGCTGTGCGCGAAGCTCCCGTAGGATGTGAGTGCCCCGGGCCTGGCCCGGAGCCCGGTTTGGCTTAGCGACCTCTGGTCTGTCGACCTGGCGAGATTCAGGCGTAGAATGCAGCGGCTTTGACCTGGCAGGGGCTTGAAAACCCAAGAGAGAAGCAGGGGAGACCTTTGTCCCTAAGCTGTCCTCCTGCCTCCTAGCGACACAGAGACCCGAGGAGGAACGCTGCCCGAAGGCTAGCCTGCCCCGGGCGCCCAGGGATTGGGGTTTCCCCGGCGTGGACACTGCCTGTCTCTCACCTCAGGCTGTGGTGGACGCCTGCTGCGACAATGGCCTGCTTGCTCCCTGGTCTGCCACCCAGGCCTTCCCCAGCTTCTCCACCTGCTCTTTGGTCTCACTTTGGGAGGCTCCCATCTCCTTGGCCCCCCAAACGCCAGATTTTACAGTGAAGTCTGTGGTTTCTGTCCCCGTGCACGTGGCCTGGAGCAGTGCACAGGACAGGTTTGTATTTTACCTGAGGTCACCTTTGCCCTGTTTGCTGACATTTCACAGGTGTACTGGCTCCAGGATCCGTTTAACTTCCACCTCTGGCTCTGGAGTTTCTGTCTGAGAATGTCATAGGACATAAGCGCTTAGCGTGAGTATCTCTGTACTTACTTCATGCATCTTGGGTACAGGAGGTACTGGCAACCTACTGTGTGAGGGTTTCTTACTTACAGTTTAGGATAAACTGCAAATATTAAAAATTATCTGTATGAGAACCCATTCCTTTCAGACAGCCACTGTCTAATCAAAGGATAAAAGTTCCTGTAGAACTTGTGGAAAGTCATTCATGGGGAAGAAAATTCCAGGTATCCAGGGTTAGTGTCCCAAGGGAGAGAAAGCTCTGGACCTTCCCCACCGCCCACCCCACCCCCACACTCAGAAGTGGCTGCCTGGCCTTCAGTACATCCTGCTGCCCTGATTCTGTGAAACCTTAGATATGGTGAGATTGCGTCTGCCGTGATCGGCTGTCGCCTCTCAGATGTTACCTTCAGGAGGGTTGAGCTGACAGGTTGGTGCTCTATAAGAATCTGCCACCAGACAGTTTTTTTTTTAACGTGTGCCATGAAGCTGCCACATGGGGGCCTTATGTGATTATACTTTTTCTCACTTATCTTGAGTGGTACATCGTGCAGGCTTTCTCTAGATGATCAATCAGGAAATTACTAATTATGTCCCGAATAGTGTATGCTACTACTAGAGGCCTTTGTGAGTTTTCACACTCATTTTAGATTTTGCTAGGTACCTATTTCTTTAGTTAACAAGCATTTGCACACAATTTATTCAGATATTAAAAAAACCCACAATTAAAATTATGAAACCTTGTAAGAATTCTGTAAAGAGCTCACATGGTAGCTCAACAGGCCAATCATCAGCCTGTGATGCCAGCATCCTATTTGGATACTGGTTCTAGTCCCCAGGTTCCTGATTCAGGTCCCTACTTATAGACTGAGAAGCAGCAAGGATTGCTCAAGTCCTTGGGCCTCTGCCCCGAGTGTGGGAAACTTGGAGGAGGTTCCTGACTCCTGGCTCCAGATTAGCTCAGCTCTGACCACTGGGGGCCATTTGGTGAATGAACCAGAGATTAAAAGACTTCTCCCTCTGGCTCTGCTGATTATCACCTGCTGAGGATGACACAGTGCTTCTTAGAGAATGACTTGTCTAACCCATCTTGGTTGGGATCACACCTCCACTCTGCTTTGTGAGTTCTCTAGGATGATCACTTGCACAGCTTGTGCTGCCATGGAACATCCCAGAGCCTGAGAAGGCTTACACCTCAGATATTTATATCTGATGGTTCTGGGGGTTGTGTCCAAGTTTTGGAGAGTTTAACTCCTGTTGATGATTCTTGACCCGAGTTACAGCTCAGCTGGCCCCCTTCTCACTGTGCCATCACATGGTCTTGCCTTACGGCATGCATGAGGAAAGAGGCTGGTCTCCTTTTTAAAGGGCACTAATCCTGTCAGAGGGGCCCACCCTCATCTAATCCCAGTTACTTCACAGAAATCCCATCTCCAGTACCATCACACTGGGACCAGGGCTTCAACATGAATGGAGGCAAACATAGACGTTCTGCCCATCACACTTAGAGTGCTGAGGTGCGCCAATAAGGAAAATGTTGGCTACATCCAGAACTGAGATTTTCTGAGCAGATGAAAGGGAAGACAGAAAGGCTACAAAGTTTGGGATGTTCCTAAGAGTGTGATTCTAATGTACTTGACACTGGAGCTGGAGGGAAAGGAAGAAATAAAAGGGATGAATGGGGGTAACACAATGACCAGAAAGCTGGATAATCTGTTGAGCTCAAAAGATAATCATAACCAATATAGTAAAGCAGGATGGAAGGGGAGGAGGTTGTGGTTAGACAGTGCTGTGCTTAAGTTAGTGATCTTGGAATTATGAGTGTAAAACTCCAAGGTCTGACCGTGCAAGTGTGGTGGAAGTTTAAGGAGGGGAAGGTTTGGTGATGTCAGAAGTACAAAACTTCTGAAATTCAGCAGTGAATACCCTCCTGGCACCCCTGAGCTCCAGCATGATACAGCATTTGGAAATGTACAGTTGCTGCTGTGTTCTCTTCTTCAGGTTAGAGATATGGGAAATTCATCAGGACTGTCAAGTTATATGTGCCTCAAGGAATTAGGAATAAACTTTACAGATTTGGTTGCTTTAAAAAAAGATTTATTTACTTTTTATTGGAAAGATTTACAGAGAGGAGAGACAGAGAGAAAAATCTTCCATCCACTGGGTCACTCCCCATGTGGTCCCAAAGGCCAGAGCTGAGCCAGTCCAAAGCCAGGAGCCGGGAGCTTCTTCCAGAACTCCCACGGGAGTGCAGGGTACCAAGGCTTTGGGCCATCTTCCACTGCTTTCCCAGACTACAAACTGGGAGCTAAATGGGAAGTGAAACAGGAACAGCTGGGACACAAACATGTGCCCATATGGGATCCCAGTGGCATCAAGACAAGGATTTAGCCACTAGGCTATTGGCTATTGTGCCAGACCTAGATTTGCTGCTTTTTAAAAGAAGTTGCAGTGGCCTAGAAGTGGCCGTTGAAACCAGGGAAGACACTGCTCTTACTATACGAAAGTATGAAAGGGATTAAAATAATGTGAAGGATTGGCAAGGGAAGCTGAACCCTCAGATGAGTTATTGGTCTCATTTGAGAAAAGGAGGTAAAAAGACCACTCAAGGCAGCATCGGAAGACAAGCAGGAGTACCACGGGCACTGTGGAAGGTTGTGATAGGGTCAAGGGCAAGGAAATGTATGTGTGCAGGCTCAGGGCAGTATGGATGGCGAGCCGAGCACTGGCACTGCAGCCTACAGCAGGTACATATAGAAGAGGCCACTGATGGCTCTCACAAGTTGTTCTTTTGATAAAGGCTGATCAAAGCAAGGCAGTGTGATCTCACAGGTTCTTTCCTTTTGCCTCCTTTCTTCTTCTTCTTCTTTTTTCTTTTTCTTTTTTTGTCATGGAGAAGGTATTAACCTACCAGAAACTACCCTCTGCAGGCATTGCATGAATTACATTAATCTTCAGCTCAGTCCCTGGATCAGATTTTTATTAGTCTCTCATTTACAACCACAGAAGTAGCATGTGGAAAATCACGTAATAAGTGATAGAGCTGAATCTGATAGGTGCAACATCCATGTTTTGTTTTGACATGTTTCAGAACTGCCTTTCCGAGAGAGTAGCTCCAGGTTACACTTAACTACAAAACTCCTGCACTGCACACGCACACAATGCTTAAGAATTGAAAGGACTTTGCACACTGGCCAAGTGTACCACTTATATAGTGTGGGGTCAGAAAAAAGAGAGCACTAGTGTTCAAGAGCTTTGAAGGAGCCAAGAAGTGAGTTTCAGCAAGCCCATCATCTGACCAGCATTGTGGAGCAGCGCAGGGTGGCAGTTCCTTCCTCTGTACTTCCTTCTACCCTTCTCACTGCGCTGGATCCTCAGCCTCATGTGGTACCAGCCTTTTAGCAAAGATGATTGTCTTCAACATTCTCTGTATATCCTTTACCTACCCATTCTTCCTCTTCTGTGTTTCTACCTCATACAGTTCTCTGTCACCTTGATAATAAGGGATACTTTTCTGAAACACCACAGTGACAGAAAGGTATCTCACGGTGCAGTTATATCATACTTCTCAGCCCCATGTTATTGAACTTTTGCATTGAACTTTTGAACTTTTTCTGTGAGGATACAGACACTACTAGCTTTGCAATATCTGCATGTCCATAATTACTACATTAAAGG